GGATATATAGCTTTAAGTTACACTTATCAGATTGGTACACAAAGTCCGTGGTCTAGACTACCCGGGTCCGACTTCCATTTTTGTGTAAGTGCGATGGCTGAGTGGGTTAGACGGCTGACTTTGTGTGCTGGCGATTAGGTGCCTCACTCTCAGGGTGTGTGCTTCAATCCTAGATGAGACTCAACCCAACAAAAGTACTAGAATCTGTACTTTACTGAGAAAGTATAATCCCAGATATAACATTTGTTACAAGGTTATCTGTTTTCCATAAATTGGAGAATTAAATATAGTCACGTAATGAGACTTAACAGGAATGTCACTTCTTTCTGTAGCCCTGGAAACGGGTTATTTATCCTTTTCAGTCATGGAACAAACCAGGACTTGGTTTCAGTACTTTGCACTGACGAATCGAGATCGTGTCTGGACTTTACAGATTCCAGGATTCCAACGAAGCCAAAAATGACCACTAGGGACAGGAGAGGATTCATTATGATTTTGGGTTGGATCAGTTGAGTTGGTAGAACCGATGTTCATTCTACGGGGTATGATAGGAGTACGCTACTTATGTGCACGGACACAGTATGCGTCATCCTCACTGACGATAACGTGTGGCATCATGGAGCCAGGGATATTGATGCAAACACTGATGAGGACAGTGTCCGTATGGAGTGTCCAGTCCGTCACCAAACCTGAACCATATGCCGCTGGAAATCTTCATGTCCTTCCGGTAGCTCAACAGGAACCCGGCAATGCTCTCACTGAAGAGAGGAACAATCCTCAACTGGCAACCATTCAGACAATTATTGGGAGCATAAGACGACGGCTATGATCGCCTCACACCCTTCCTGAAGTTGCCCTTTTGGACAGCCAATTGACATCATGATTTTGTGACGTGTCAGTTTTGTTAAGACAATCTCATTTTCTCGCGAACTGGTTCCAGGTTGTTTTTGTGTGGCACTCGGACTTGTCACTGAAAATGTCTTCACGCAGTCGTATCTTTGATGCACACAATTTGACGCTTTACCATTTAAAGTGGTGATCCTTAGCAAACTTTGAATAGTACATATTGTACTATTGTAGAACGATGATGAAAACTGAGGTATGGTTGAATAGTGTGCTTGACAATAAATACATACTCTATATCCGGGCAGGTTTTATTTTTCCAATCAGGAATAAGTAAACGCATAAACAATAATCAAAATGGTGATCAAACCTAGTTGCGAATAGAATGTCTTCCCTATGAAAAGTGCTGGGTATGAAAGCCCCATAAGCCTCATAATTAAACTGACGATGAACCTTGATCTCTCTGATGAATCTAGCCAAACCATTCCACCTGTTGATATCACATTGCACTTCGTCTCTACACGCAAATGCATTTGTTATGTATGTGAGGTTCAACTGAGCATCTCCACCTACAGCTACTTGTAACTTCTGGTGTAATTATGAATGCAATGACAATACAATTTTCACTGATTATGAAAAATGACAAAAATGTATCATATTATGTATATTGCATACTGACTGAAACCGGGTGTTAAAACTAGTTACAGCTAGTACACTGTAACCATCATTTATAAGTTTGCTCCTTAATGAGTCATCATGCATTCTCTTGAGCATCATTTGCAGATGGTGCAGCTGATTAGGATGTCCACAATATCATCTACGCACGTTTAACACCTGCGTCACTTTAGGCTTCTCTCACATCATGCTGGCAAGCGAAATCTGCTGTTCAAGGTGACGTTAAACCAACCATCACAGCTACATCTCGCCACTACTGGCAGTAGGCAATGTTCTCAAGGCGAACACAGGCTTGACAAGAAAGACCATTGATAGTAGGCAATGTTCTAAAGGTGAACATGAGGCTTTATAAGAAAGACCACTGACTGTAGGCAATGTTCTATAAGCTAAAGGTGAACACGAGGCATGACAAGAAAAAAAACACTGACAGTAGGCAATGTTCTAAAGGCGAACACGAGGCTTGACAGGAAAGACCACTGATAGTAGGCAATGACAAGAAAAAAAGGTGAACACGTTCTAAAGGCGACAAGACAAGAGACCACTGCTGGTAGGAAATGTCCTAAAGGGGAACACGAGGCTTGACAAGAAAGACCACTGCTGGTAGGCAATGTTCTAAAGGTGAACACGAGGCTTGACGTACACGAGGGCTTTACAAGTACACGAAAGACAAACTGCAGCAGGCAATGTTCTAAAGGTGAACACGAGGCTTAACAAGAAAGAACACTGACTGTAGGCAATGTTATAAAGGTGAACACGAGGCTTGACAAAAAAGACTACTGACAGAATCCACTGTTATAATGGTGAACACGGGACTTGACAAGAAAGACCATTGACAGTAGGAAGTGTTATAAAGGTGAACACAAGGCTTGACAAGAAAGACCACTGGCAGTATGCAATGTTATAAAGGTGAACACAAGGTTTGACAAGAAAGGCTTTCTTCACGCAGGCCTTCAACATTACAATAATAAGTATATTTTCAATGCTATGTTTGTAAATGGTGAGTGTCATGTCAGTCAATGATATATAACCTAGAGCAAATTATCCTGAGTCGTTTCACGAACAAATGGCTTCATCACTGAATATCAGTGATTCATTCATATCATGATAAATATTGCCTAACACCCCTTGTGGTATCAGTTTCGGCGGATAATCGAGACGGGTTAATCTCTGGCATTGGCGTTATATATTTATATTTACCTGGGTTGATTTGCAGTATGAGACATAAAGACAATCTCAGCAGCTCACTGCAAGATGTTTGTCGGCAGTATAGACATAATCTATCAACAGTAAACATCGTTAGTCTACTGCGAGAATGGCGGAATCGCAACAAATCACTGCGACTGGCTTGGCGTCGCCGGAACAACATGCACATCAATAATTAAACAGCTGGAACGAACTTCTCATATGTTCTCATTCTGGTTCAACCTATGCAATTTGGTGGACGACTGGGTTAGGGCAGAGTTTACCAGAACAACCACTGCTCTGCGGGAAGCCTATCTAAGACGTGGCTGTGACTCTGTACACTGGCCCAAAGTACACGAAATGCTCTGGCGCTTCATGGTTATTTTTCAATAGGGATATCGGTGTGGAATCCAGAATGGTGCACAAAGTCCGTAGTCCTTTAGACTACCAAGGTCCGACTTCCATTTTTGGCGAAGCCGCGATGGCTGAGTGGGTTAGACGGCTGACTTTGTATGCTGGCGATTAGTGCCTGCCCAGATGGGACTCAATCCAACAAAAGTACTAGTATCTGTACTTTACTGAGAAAGTGTTATCCCAGATATAACATTTGTTACAAGGTTATCTGATGTCTATAAATTGGAGGATTAAATAAAGTCACGTAACGGGACTTCAGAGTGAGGGTGTCACATTTGATCCCACTTTTAGCAGTATTTCTGCAACATGATTACAGGTAAACACAAACGCTGGACATCTCACACAAAACTCATGTCGGGATCGAAATCGAACTTTAACTTTAACAACAATATAGAATTTTTGTTTGTTGCTCGACACCGCGCAAACAATATTTAAGATCTATTCTGGCGGTACTTAAAGAATGGAGTCTTGAGCAGACAATCCAGTGATTGACATCATCGACATTTGTGACAGGATACGATTACATGTATTATCCCAATTCACGAGCCTGACCAGACAATGGCGGTAATCGCCTCCTACCACAACCCGGATGTTCACTGGAGAAGACAACCATGGGTTTCGGAAGAACATTTTTAACCAGGATATTAAATAGAAGAGGCAACTGGGTTGCTAAAGCTAACTTATAACAGAGAATTCCGAAAAATTCCGGGAATCAATAATATATATCAATCATAGATATATTTCTGCAATGCAGATATTTGAATACACTATAATAGATGCTTACAATATGAACGGTTCTTGTAACGTTAATTTAATATACCAAAGCGCTAATACATGAATATTCCACGAATCCAACTGATGAATATATTACATATCCTTGAAATGTTTCAGGATGTATATACAGGTGTATGATTAACGTCATGAATAATCTTTATTAAACTTTAACACATGCGTATGTGAATAATCTACTCTATAATAGTACGGAAAGCCTTGGAGGCTGATATTGTACAATGAATATATGACCAGCTTACACTAAGAGTATATGAATAGGCTATACTATGAGTATATATATATATCCAGCACTTAGAATCTTAGAATATACGAATAACCTACAGCAAGAGAATATGAATATCGTACACTAAGAGTATGTTAATAGCTTACACTAAGAGCATATAAATAGCTTACACTAAGACATGAAAAGCCTACACTAAGAGTATATGGATAGCTTACACCAAGAGTAATTGTCACAACGATACCTGACATATTGGCACTTGACACAGGCATTCATGTCATATCTGTACTTGACGCAGTGATACGTTACATATCACTATTTGTCACAACGATACCTGACATATCAGTACTTGACACAATGCTACCTGACATATCTGTACTTGACACAATGCTACCTGACATATCTGTACTTGACACAATGCTACCTGACATATCGGTACTTGTCACAACGATACCTGACATATCGGTACGTGACACAGTGATACCTGACATATTGGTACTTGACACGATGATACCTGACATATCTGTACTTGACACGACACTACCTGACATATTGGTACTTGGCACAGTGATAACTGACATATTGGTACTTGACACGAGGATACCTGACATATTGGTACTTGACACAACGATACCTGACATAATGGTACTTGGCACAGTGATACCTGACATATCTGTACTTAGCACAACGATACCTGACATATCTGTACTTGACACGATGATACCTGACATATCGGTACTTGACACAGTGATACCTGGCATATCGGTACTTGTCACAGCGATACCTGACATATCGGTACTTGACACAGTGATACCTGACATATCGGTACTTGACACAACGATACCTGGCATATTGGTACTTGACACAGTGATACCTGACATATTGGTACTGACACGAGGATACCTGACATATCGGTACTTGACACAACGATACCTGACATAATGGTACTTGGCACAGTGATACCTGACATATCTGTACTTAACACAACGATACCTGACATATTGGTACTTGACACGATGATACCTGACATATCGGTACTTGACACAGTGATACCTGGCATATCGGTTCTTGTCACAGCGATACCTGACATATCGGTACTTGACACAGTGATACCTGACATATCGGTACTTGAAACGACGATACCTGACATATTGGTACTTGACACAGTGATACCTGACATATCTGTACTTAACACAACGATACCTGACATATCTGTACTTGACACGATGATACCTGACATATCGGTACTTGACACGATGCTACCTGACATATCGGTACTTGTCACAACGATACCTGACATATCAGTACTTGACACAGTGATACCTGACATATTGGTACTTGACACGATGCTACCTGACATATCGGTACTTGACACGATGCTACCTGACACATCGGTACTTGACACAACGATACCTGACATATCTTTACTTGACACGATGATACCTGACATATCGGTACTTGACACAATGCAACCTGACACATCGGTCCTTGACACGGTGATACCTGACACATCGGTACTTGACACAGTGATACCTGACATATTGGTACTTGACACAACCATAGCTGACATATCTGTACTTGACACATGGATACCTGACTTATCGGTACTTGACACAGTGATACCTGACATATCGGTACTTGACACATGGAACCCTGACATATTGGTACTTGACACAACGATACCTGACATATGGTACTTGACACAACGACATATACTTGACACAGTGATACCTGACACATCGGTACTTGACACAGTGATACCTGACATATTGGCACTTGACACAACCATAGCTGACATATCTGTACTTGACACAACGATACCTGGCATATCGGTACTTGTCACAGTGATACCTGATATATCTGTACTTTACACGATGCTACCTGACATATCTGTACTTGACACGATGATACCTGACACATCTGTACTTGACACAGTGATACCTGACTTATTGGTACTTGACACAATGCTACCTGATATATCTGTACTTGACACATGGATACCTGACATATTGGTACTTGACACAATGCTTCCTGATATATCTGTACTTGACACATGGATGCCTGACATATTGGTAGTTGACACAGTGATACCTGATATATCTGTACTTGACACATGAATACATGACATATTGGTACTTGACACAATGCCACCTGATATATCTGTACTTGACACATGGATGCCTGACATATTGGTACTTGACACAGTGATACCTGATATATCTGTACTTGACTCATGAATACCTGACATAATGGTACTTGACACGGTGATACCTGACATATCAGTACTTGTCACAACGATACCTGACATATTGGTACTTGACACAGTGATACCTGATATATTGGTACTTGACACAAAGATACCTGACATATCGGTACTTGACACAGTGATACCTGATATATTGGTACTTGACACATTGATACCTGACATACTGGTACTTGACACAACGATACCTGACACATCAGTACTTGACACAACGATACCTGACATAAAATACTTGACAACAATACCTGACATATTGGTACTTAACACAACGATACCTGACATATTGGTATTTGACGCAGTGATGCGTTACATATCGCTATTTGTCAGAACGATACCTAACATATCGGTTCATGAAACATGGGTACCTGACAATCGGTACTTTTCACAACGATACCTGACATACTGGTAGTTGATACACTGACCTGACATATCAGTCCTTGATCTATAGGTACCAGACATGTCAGTGACTGACATACCGAGATGAACCTGACATATCAATCCTTGTCATATAGGCACTTGATATAGCAGTTCGGGGCATAGAGGTGACGCAAAAAGCAGATCCTGTCATAACAACAAAACCATATAACGCCCAAGACACGGCAATGTCAGACATACTTTGCCCAGACGGTACTTCTATATCAAACCTATGTAGCCATTCTGTACTTCGCGGAATGAATGTTATGCTCTTTCGGTGTATATTCGACATTTTCATCACCTGTTTTTATTCAGTCTTCTATCCGTGGTCCATAAAAATGGCATTGATCGCTTTTCTCGGAACTGACAGGAAAGGTTTGCAGCTTGCTCAAGACGCGCTTGTTTCAAATGATAGAAAGCAGGGATCAATGATATAGTTGAAATATAAAATATCCATTCCTGTATTTATCACTTAATCAATATCTCTCTTTCACGCCCAAATGAAATGGACTATGTTGTTTGCTTAACATAGAAAGTTCACTTAAGCTCTGTAATGAACTGTGAAGGTAGAACCCCAAGCAAAGACGTGTAATTTGAGGTCAGTTAAATCGGGATTCTGTTCAGTTCAGGAAAGGAGTGGGTATTACTTCAATAAATCTTTATTTTTCTGTTTCATGCTTCACAAGGCCATGGTTTTATTACTTAATGCTGATGTATCGACAACGACGCCGGTAACACTGCAACAGCTAATAACCTTCCAGCTGAACAGGGCTATCGATGGTGTAATCTTCGTCACAGTGCAACACACGCTTTCTCGCGAAATCAGAAGCCGTTTAATTATAAGATGATTATTCATTGATTAGCGTAGAATGTAGCATGCCAATAGACGCCTGGACCCTAAAGATGCGCCGCGATGTTCGTAGACCGATACGTCTCCAGAGCCTATGACGGATATGCCTAGACCTCAGTTTACCCTTTTCAGATTTGTCATATCGAAGTTATCTGTATTGTCGGGAGGGACGGTTTGCAGATCTTCTGATTATCACCTAGGAAATTAAATTTTCCGTTCCCTTAACCTGGCGCACGGTGGGCTATCCCGTCTCTTTCTTGCGCCTTAGCACATCTCCTTCTGGGCCCGACCTAGGGGATCCAAGCTCTCATTTAGGCCCCTTCACGTCAAGTTAAACTGGGAAAAAGCGAATAAACAGAGAAACGGGAACTACTGCCGCGTTTTGACTCCGCCTTTAATCAATAACTCCGCTGGTACAAGAGACAGTAGCCACTGGAATGACGAACAGACGAGATCTGTACATAGAGCGCGCGCATCGCACGTTCCAGAACTGGGTGTCGTCTGCTAGCATCGTTACGTCATCACGCGTCACTAAAGCGGGAGAAACTTCAACGAAGACTTCTGGATTTGGCTTTCATTAGCTGAATATTGAGTTAGTTTTGAGAGTAACCGTCCAGGATTTATTTGTGCGACTTTTCTGCAGACTTGCAAGGAAGTGTCTTCGTGACTGCTGATTGCTGCGTGATCGGATTATAGCTTGATGTGACACTTCGGAGTAATGAATGAAGGATTGACAACTTCAGAGAAAGGATGCTCCATAGTGTAGCAATGCTAGCTGTCCTGCTGTATTCTGGTAAGTTATTATTTAATCATCACCTTTGCATGAACAACTCTAACATGTCATAGTCGCCGTTAAGAAAACTTTTGACAAGATGACGGATGACAACAGAGCTCCATGATATGGAAGCTTCTTCCCTTGCCACTGCTTCTGAAGGTAACTTAACCGTAGCAACGACCTGTAGATTGCTGAAAGTTTGAAAGCATGTCAGATCATGACATAGGGAAATTTATAACACTGACACCGACTGGCCTCATACATCTTGACTTTGACAAGTATTCTCTGGGCAGATTTCCTAACGCGTTTCTCTTTCACAGCTAATTCGGTTATCTGAACTGGAGCAGAAAGGAATCTCCGATTGCTAAAGTACAGGTGTCTCGGAGAACCTAATGAGCTGTGATTCAACAAAAGATGCTAATAATGTTCATATGCGGCCAGACATCAGGAAATGTATCTAAATAGATTGCCAGTAGCTTCGTACCTGACTTCATCGAGATACATGCACGTGCCTCGCTTTCATTACTAAGAATAGACCACTGATACTGAATATGATAAAGATCAAAATCCATATTTTTTTGTTTTAAATGATGAAGAACCACCAGTCATTATCCAGCTTAATGGATGGAGGCATGGGGTCCTGCAGGAGGCCAGCGGTCTTGTTTGTTTATGGACTTCCCACTGCTGTGACCTATTCTGATTTAAATTTTCCTGGAAATGTTGAGTCGGTGTTCAGGATTTAATGGACTTTAACAATCCCCAATGTTCGAGGCAGTTTGAAACCACTGAGTAATCCAGCGAGTTGGATGTGATTATGTTCTTTCCAGAAATTGGATGTTTTGATGAGAGTTCAAATCAGGCTAATTAAGTACAGAAAGCAGAAAGCTGACCCCTGTCATTTTGCTTGAAACAGAATCCGCTGAATGTCGATATTCAAAAAAGTTTTCCCATTTGTCTACATAATGTCTCTGTTTCAAAAGTCTGTTATGGAAATGATTAAACTTTTTTATGTTCAAAATAAGTTTAGTACTCATTAATGAGACAAGAATGGACTTTTAACGGTCAAAGGTTTGAATGCATTCTCTTTCGATAAACTACCATCTTGTACACTGTCGAGCTATATCATTTTGCAATTTAAATTTCTAAGATTAAATGAACGCGAAAACTTTCCTTTCAAACGTGAATTATTCATTACCCTTTAGTGATATTAATAGGAAATAGGTTTATTTTGTAGTCTATCGGGGCCATTTACCATTAACTAGTGTTTGATGATATGTATATGCCGCATACAGACGCATAGAAACACGTAGCCATGCAAAACGCAAACACTCTATTTCTCTGCACATCCAGTTTGTAATATTTCTCTAGCGATTACAGAACCATAAACAACTGACTCTTCAGAAGCATAAGAACTTAATTATAATAACAACCAACTCAACTGCGAGTAAAAGCAAATACAAGAAGAACCGACCACGGTGATGAAACGATTTGCTCGCACATTAAGGAGGTGAAACATGAACTGTTTGCGACGCAGTTACTTTCAAACAGGTTCAGTGACAAGGTTATGACGTGAAAGTAAGATCACACCCGCACATCCTCACTCGATTCTCATCTAACTGAACTGATGGGTAAATACATTATATGTGGAGGATACAAAAACCAGATGTTTTCGTTAGGGTATAGAGGAGTCTAATGCCGCTATCGTATATTTTCTGCTATCGCCTTGTATGAGAAAGCAATACCACTGTTTTAACAGCTTGTAAACAGCACGGTGTTAAGATCGTTAAACACAATGCGCGTCGTTGAAGAAGACACGGCAGAGAGAAGACTCTTCATTGATAGTCCTTAAACGCCATCGTAAGGTTTCACTGTTGCACTTGTTGCTGACAATTCAAAAACTCTGGACACGATTGTTCAGCATTTGAGTACTGTGTGGGTTTCTACGGGGTTCGTTCCAGACATTGGTTGGTTAAAAAGTAAAATACATTGTTTGATTATTTATTTTACGATTATCATTCATCGCAGATGCAGATAATTCACCTCCGTTAACATTTCCAAATTGAATTTCAATTTTGCGTCGCCCAATAGTCAACTAGTCAGCAAGGCAATGTCTCTTCTAAACGGGAACATGCTCCTCCAAGCAGTCGGAAATCTACATAATGCTTAATAATGAATGTTCAATGATCACAAATTCCCCCATCGGACTCTTGGCAAGTTGTGTATAGGGAACCCTATCTCTTAAATCGTTCGACTCAGTTAAGCAGAGTCATGCTCTTTCAGGAATACGAAAGCTGTCTATGTCCCTCCTTCGTGACAAATATCCTATAGGGAGACTCTGCTGCACAAGGAGATACAAAACGTAGGACAAGTGACGGCTTAGACAGAACACCACTTCCAAAACACATTCACTTGTTCCCCGAAGCAGTTAAACAGCTGTTTATTATGTTCAGTACAGAATGAATAACGACAAGACAGACCTAGAGGGAGTGATTCGTCTTGAGGGTTATTTCCTACTCATTTGTCCAACAGCATACGTCACTTAGCCTTCGCTGATTGCCTCAACGGTGTTTTTATACACTTTGCGATAGCCTCAAAGAAGTTCGAGTTTAGGAAAAATGCGCTGAAATTAGATTGAATGGGAAGTAACCAATGTTAAGGGTAGATTAAATGAGATGGTTGGCAGGTACAAGGATATTCAAGAAGAGTGTTTAATATCATCTAGACTCACCATCCCCATGGTGATTCCGGGAAGAATTTGGTGTGAAAAACCTTTGCATTAAATGTAACTGAATCAAATAAAAGAGGGTTATGGATCTCGTTTGATGTTGGGGTTAACATATGACACTCTCGAGAGGATCGTACACTTAACCATTGACAAATGAATGTTTAGAAGAATCTACCAGCGATGAGGATTCGACTTCTAATGCTGGGGTATTTAATATTGCCATCGTGACTCTTGAGGAGTTGATAGGCACGGGTCAATTGGCAGCCACTGGAAAAAAAGTCCATGTTTACAAGACATTTCCAATTTTGGAAAGATGATGTTTCCAAAGATTTACAATTTTGGAAATGTCCACAAGGGGACATAACTGGTGGGTGATGGTAAATCATTGTTATTTGCACGGCCCGGGACCTAATCCCTTGTTGATTGATGAGTGAGTCACGGCAGTTAAAAGTCACCAATTAACAAGGCCTACTGCCATGTTAATTAACATGTTATTATGCCTCTTAAAGGTCACATGCAACCAAAAAATCGAAAACATAGTTAAAACACAATTATCACTTCTTTATGACAGATAATATGCATTGCTGATTATGAAAAAACAAATAAACAAAATAATAAGCGTATAATCGCAAATCAAAAGTGCAATACTTTGTACTTGGGTTTACCTCCCTCGAAACGAAGCAGCCGGGATACCGAACCCAGTCAGGGCTGGTGTAACGGCTGGTTCATTTGCAGATGCCCTCACGGCTGATTGTGTGTGTATATATAGAGATGTTGGGTTTTGTAAATACATGCTCATTTTTTTGTGTATAACATTTTGCAATCAACAGACATCATAACATGTCATGTGTTCAAGTATCACACCTGCCTGTCTGTGTAATTACATAATGTGACAGAGACCGAACTCAGGCCATAAATCAATGCGTTTTGTTTATGGTGTATAGCCTGATTGGTGTTAAGTTCAAATTGCATGTGGTCAGTGATCGCAGTTGTGTATTGAATATTGCCATTAGCAGACAGGCAGGCAGACACACAGGTGTCAATTAAACAAGACATTGAGTTTTGTCTGTGACAACGACATATCTACATAGTATATCACAGTTAGAAATTCTGTCAACGCTAAATAATGACATTGCTTTTAAGTATCGAACTAAGAAAGTGACTCGGTAAGAAGAACGTGTGGGGAAATAGACATATGAAATTATATAAACAGTTTATTTACTGTCATAACATATAAAAAGCTCGCGCCTGTGAGATATCAACAAAACATTATGAAAATAGCTCACACCAAAGCCTTCACCGAGTATTCACCAGACAGCCCGCTTCCAAGTTGCGCGAACCTATTTCACTGCGCACATGCTATGAGCGCAGCCCAGCTGTTGAAACCCGTTTTCCCCCGAAATTTTCGGGGGAAAATTAGTGAATCGTTTTTTTCATCGCGTTATTTTTCAACTTTATAACTTGAATTTGCATTTTTAGCATTAGAAACTTTGATTCAATTCATTTAAAACTGTATCAGTTTATTGTTGTTAAGTTGTAATTCGTGCACTTAAGGCTAATGCTGATCACATACTTGTACAACGCCAGAGAATAATCAGTCTGAGGAATATGTCTAAACAGATTCCATAGAGCGTGAAAGCAAAATAGTAGTTAAAATCACTCGATAATGGGATCACAGCATGTGTTCCTTAAAAGGGTAAGCATTTTCTAACGCTAAAACAATGTTTTATCTCGATAAATACAACGTTTTGACCTGGGATGGACTTGGAAAGAAGGCTGAATATTGACCCCTTTAAGAGCACCATAGAATCTTCAATGCGTTGAATCATTCATTACTGACGCCTACACCAAGATGACACAGTGTGATTTACCTAAATACGTTTCAAGGGGAGATTAACACCAACTCCGTGACTGTAATAATTGAAAGCCAGCTATTTGAACATTATTACAGAAAGATGCGGATTCTCGGATAAAATTTAATACCGAAATTGAGCTCAAAATTTACATAAACAGCCTTCATCCAATTAACACTGAAGGTATTGATGTCGAAAGGCAAACTAATACGGAATCTATATTGACCTTATTAATCACTCTTACGCAGATGCCAATCTCTCCTGGATCACTATATAAATTTTCTTAAGGCGCAAGTTTGTTCAACACACTAATCTACAAATATCCAAATACTATCAAGCTGAGATCTATATTGAGTCGTTTAAATCTGGAATAGTGAGTGCAAACAGTGTTTCCATTGGGTATGGGGATTGAAGCAAGTTCGGCGGTTTTCCATCGGGCA